GTGTACTTGCTGCTGACTTTACTATTAGTACTACTAGTAGTACTAGCACTAATAGTACTGCTCTTATTTTCACCGTGTGCCCGTCAAATGTCAGACGCTGGTTTATTTAGTCAGAAAATAATATAAAGACATAAACATAAAAGCAATGTTCAAATCTCTCTGCAGCTTCTGCCCCAAAGCAAATGTAATTATGATGAAACAATGTAATGAAGCGTAAGTGAAGGTGACACACAAGCGTCGTTTACTGGGGAGGTTTCTGTGAACGCGGCGACATCTTTGAGGGAAAAGGAGCCCAGTTTCACAAAGAGCGAGTTGTTCTTTCCTCTCACGTTCTCTCACATGCAAGTGTCACGGAACCTCTGTTGGGTTCTTCAGCGCGTGTGTGCGTGTGTGCGTGCGTGTGTGTGTGTGTGTGTGTGTGTGTGTGTGTGTGTGTGTGTGTGTGTGTGTGTGTGTGTGTGAGAGTGTGTGTGTGTGTGTTGTGTGTGTGTGGTGAGAGTGTTTGTGTGTGTGTGTGCGCACAGCAGGCAGCAGGACAAAAGGACAGATGTCCACTCAGCAGTCAGCAGAAGGTGTGGTGCAGTGCATGATGGGATATTTGCGTTGGTGTTGTTGTTTACTCATCAGTTCTCTTCTTTTCTCTCCAGACCTGATAAACGTATTTAATGATTTCATATTATTATATATTTATATATAAATACTTTTCTACCAGTTTTCACATTAGTGACTCGAGAGTAGAGAACCACAAATATTTCCTCCAGCCACACGTCCTCTTCCTCCTCTTCCTCCTCTTCCTCCCCATCCTGTGCCCTCTCACACTCATGAAGCCCCCCCGAGCTTCACTCCATCTTGTCCTGATTCTACGTCAGCCTCCACCCGACGGCCCGAGATCAAAGCGATGAATTTCACCAGCGTTCAAAATGAGACCTTTTAAATCAGCATCGCTGTGGATCCTCGTCTCCTCCTCAGCAGAGACATCCATGTCCTCCTTCTGCTCCTCCTTGTTCTCCTGCTCCTCCTTCTGGAGAGATGTCCACGTTGTAGTTCCCTTCATTCTCCTCCTCCTCCCGTCCCTGGAGGTGACGTTTGAATCACTTCACATTAGCCCCAGGAGGCTAACTCGCCCCCTCATGCTCAGCACTGACCCAGTTGTGTGGTGAGTGGATGTGACGTGGTCATGTGACCTGCTGGTGGGTGATGGTGGGACCAAGCAGCTGCTCACATCGATTCATTGAAGATTATTGGAACTCTAAAGTTGATAAGAGGAGAGACCACAAGGTTGGGGGTTCGAGCCCCGGACTGATGTCCCACGTCAAAGTGTCCCTGAGCGAGACGCCCGACCCCTAACTGCCCCCTGGACGCCCCACTCTCAGCTGAATGACCTGTAATGTAATAATTCTTATTAGGTGGAGGAGGAAGTCAGGTGACGTAGGATAATCACAGACCACGCCCCTTTTTGTATGGCTATGAGTGACCTTCAGAGGCCGAGTGAGACACTAGAGGTCATTCAGTTGACCTACTGCAGCCTTCTCCTTGTTGTTGTTGGTGTTGTTGTTGGTGTTTGTGGGCAGTGGGACACGTTGACCGTCGTCTGCGGTCTTTATCAATACTGACACTTCCTGTCTGACTTCCTGTCTGACTTCCTGTCTGACTTCTTCTTCAGGTGAAGTACAAGAAGGACTTTGAGGAGAGCAAAGGTCGAGGCTTCAGCATCGTGTCCGACACTCCGGAGATGCAAAGACTCAGAAGGACTCAGGAGCAGATCAGCATCGTATGTACACACACACACACACACACACACACACACACACACACACTCTGTGTGCGCTTGTGTAAGTGAGATGTGACGGGTGCATTTTGGTCAGAGAGTACAATAACACACACACACACACACTGTGTGTCATCATGGAGGTCACTGGTTGCGATGATGACGTCACCTCTTGATGACATCACCTGTTGGAGGAGGAGCCAGTGAGGTGAGTTCTTTGTATCTTTCTTTGAGGAGGATTAAAAGCGGTCTGTGTTTCAGTAGAAGAGATGATCAATGAATCATCTACACAAGTTTAACTCATCCAAGTATTCATGATGTATTCATGATGTAAACATGATGTATTCATGATATATTCATGATGTATTCACCTCTCAATGCATAATATATTCAGGATGTATTCATGATGTATCAGGAT